TCTATACTTTAAGGGTCAATAACAGTATTTTTAAAAAACTATCAAGCATTCTGGGAACGAGTGAACAAACACACACCTGTGAACACTTATGAGAATATTCATATATTTAAATATGAATTCCATATGTGTAACTGAGTGATGACAAGGTCCTTATGTTTCTTAATTCTTTATGATTTATTGGGAACTCAAAGGTAACTAAAAATGTCTGGTTTTCTGGTTTGATAGTATTTCTAATTTCATGTTAAAGTTAGGTTTTCTATATGCATAAAATTATATTTATTTTGTATGTGAATGAGTTACAAAATTATGTTCAGATCCATATGTCAGGGATGCTGCCTAATTCAGAAGACGATACACAAAAATTTCAAGTCGCTAACGGTTGAAACCCTACTTCTTAACATAATAAGTTAGTTATGAGGTTCTTTTACCTTTTAAATACTCAAGAAAAAGTATGTTCAAAAGCTTTAACAGAACATTAAGTCAACTTGTTATTTATAAACTGAAAGATGGATTATTAAGTACTTCCCATTAAATGGAGCACTAATATTAAGTTCATATTTTATGCATAAGGTAGACAGAAGCAACTTAATTTAATATGCCTTAGCAATTCCCAATTTTTTGTACATGAAATGTAATTTCTATTTACCATAGTGTCTATAAAAGTCTTTTCTAAGTCATTTAATAACATTTTGCCAAAGAGAAAAGCTAAAAATTCATATTTAATTCTGTTTATAAATGATTTTAGAGCTCTAACATTGTATGTTGTCTGAAAATTTTAATTATCTAGGAAAGAAACTAATGATGCTTTACTGTGAAAACAGCAAAATACTTTAAAATAAAAAATTAGGGACTTCCCTGGTGGTCCAGTGGGTAAGAATCCACACTCCCAATACAGGGGGCCGGGGTGCAATCCCTGGTCAGGGAACTAGATCCCACATGCATGCCACAACTACGAGTTCGCATGCCGCAACAAAGACCCTGTGTGCTGCAACTAAAACACGGCACAGCCTAAATAAATACATAAATATTAAAAAAAAAAAAGTGTAGCTTAAGATTAAAAATAAAATTAAATTAAAAATTAGTTCATGTAAAGGGACAAAAGCTCAAATTACAGTGTGTTTATTTCTCTATGCTACATATTAAGAAAGATATATAGATTATTTCAATGTATCCAGGGGTAGACTCTCTGGAAACAAATCGGAGTAGAAGTTCTCGTAAATTTTGTCACTAAATTTTTAGGTGACACATTGTTCACTGAGGCAGATCTGGAAAAATATATAGAAGAGGATAATGGAGAAGTAAATTATCTCAATTATGTAATTCAGGAAAAAAACATTTTTCTTTCTACTGTTTTGTGTCACTGTGCAAATGAATACATTACACTGTCCTGAACTTGGCAAAGTTATCTTTTTTTTTTTTTAAACATCTTTATTGGAGTATAATTGCCTTACATATTTAACATTTTTGAGGTTGAAATTCCTCATCTGTAAAATGAGGGGAACAGCAGTAAATGAAATAATTCAAGTGACAACCTTAACAATGTATGTGGGACTTAATAAGCCCTCAAATAGTAACTATTATTATTCTCTTGAAAATTGCTTATTCATGTTATCCACTCATTTTTCTATTAGTCTTTTTTCTTGATTTTTAAAGGGTCCTTTTAATAATAAGACTATAATACCTTTGTCTACTATATATGCAATTTTCCCCAGTTTGTCATTTGCCCTTCCATTTTCTTCAAGGTGCTTTAAAATTTTTATGTAAACTTAAAATAAATTAACTATAAAATGCTTTCTCACATGTGCCAGTACTTGTCTGTCAAAAAGCCCTTCCCTCCAAGGTGGGTGTTTCTATTTTAGATAGGCTGATCAGGGAAGTCCCTGAAGGTGTGACATTAAAGTATAGAACTGGAAGGAAAAGAATCAAGCCATGAACGTATCTGGGGCAAAACCATTGTAGATGAGGGAACATTAAAATAAAGTGTTCCTTTCGAGATTAAACTTTCTTATTTCTATTCAACTGTGCTAAGAACTTCCTGAACATAGCTGAAGAATGGTGGTACTATAAGTTTTCTTTGCCTGTGCCATTTTGGGAAATAGGTTTATTAGTTTCATAAGATGCCCTGAGTGATCTCCATTTTTATCTATATTCTGCAACAAACTATATTTGAAATTCACTTATGAAAAACCTATAGGATGGAGTTAACTTTTTGAACACTTCTTCAGGCAATGGTCTGTGTAAGTTTTCTTCCTTATTTAAATCAATTTTGTTCACTTGCAATTTTCTAGAATTTAGTCCACTTTATTTGGACATGCTAAATGTATTTATAATATTATGAAAACCTAAGAAATCTCTATTTCTGAATGCATCCTTTGAGCCACTACTCCTATTGTATTTATTTTTGCCCAAAGACCGTCTTTACAAATTGTATATTCAATACAAGGGTTTTCTTTTTTTGCAATCCATTTGGTTGTACTTGTTTCTTGAGATATATTTTTTCCCTCCTCTCATTTGAGTTGAATGGTTAATTTGTTTTTCTCATTTAATAATAAAAGCGTTAAGCCTGTAGGTTTTCATTTGATCTCAGCTGTCTTCATGCCTCTTATGTATAATGTGTAATATTCTCATTCTTTTTAATATTTAAACTTTTTTTGACAAAATAGTTGTTTCTAAATATCCACTATTTGAGCTTACTTTGGGAGGAAAGGAATAAGTTATTTTTTAGTTCTGTTACTATCCTAAGTAAATTTTGCTTTTCGTAATTTGTAGTCTCATTGTAGCTGAGTAGCAATTTGATCAACTGAATTTATGGCCATTTTTTGTGACATATTACCTTCTTACCTAAGAAGGTACTGGTATTACAACTTATTAGGTAGAAAATTCCTTGTTTTTTGACTAACGACCTGTCATGGATTAATGGTTTCTCATAACAATATTTCTGTCTCTGTATAATCAACAGTTTTAAGAAATTTGATTATGTAATTTATTGCATCAAGTTAATTAACTTTTGGTCCTCTAGTATGGAATATATCTGTTATCAAAACGAATCTATCTTTGTCCTTTTAGTGCCATTGCCTTGAAGTTAACTTTGACACTAATACTGTTACTTGTGATTTTGTCTATTCAATGTTTACATTTCTTCTTTGTTAATTCTTTAATTTTACACTGTATTGGTGTAGAAGGGAGTTTCTTATAAAAGATATAAAGCAGTATCATGGAGAGAACAGCCTTCAGGTACAGCTGGCTCTGGGTTTGAGTTCTGTTCTATGGCTTACTGACCATGTGGCTTCTCATGTCATTTAAATTTCCACACTTCTCTCTTTACTCACTTTATTTAACTTTACTTCCTGGCACATGTTAAGCAAGCACTTAATAAATGGCAGCTATTTTTAATATATCCTAGCACTAGATTTTAAAAATCTGAATGTCTTTAAATGAAAGAACTTCATGTATTCACATGTTATTCAAGGTCTTATTTCTAATCATCTTATTTTACAACATGTAAATACTCGTTTTTTCTTCTGTTTTATGCTCTAAATTTATTTGCTCTTATTTCATTATCTCATATCAAATACTATAATGCAAAACACGGTCTAATCAAAATTAGAAGACACTCTGCTTTTAATTGTGCTAGTAAGCAGGCAATTTTTGTGGTGGTAGTCTAGTTCAAAATTGCTTTTTCTCTGCAAACAATCCCATGATACACAAGGAAGAGTTTCCTTCAAAGCTCTATTCTATCTGATCCTTCCTATGGCTGGCTGATTTCAGAGGGAACTTCTATCTCCTAGGAGGTGCGGGCTCTGAGTCATGTTAAGAGATGCCCTTCTAGGTGAAGATGCAAGGAGCTCAGGCTGCTGAATGTCCCAGAGCCATCCTTGTTTTTGTCTTGGCTGTTTCCAATCTCCTTTGAATGTGTTTCCTCCACTTTCTTTCCAATACATTCCTGTTTCACTTAAAAGTGGTCAGGCCTGGGCTTCCCTGGTGGCGCAGTGGTTGAGAGTCCGCCTGCCGATGCAGGGGACACAGGTTCGTGCCCCGGTCCGGGAAGATCCCACATGCCGCGGAGCAGCTGGGCCTGTGAGCCATGGCCGCTGAGCCTGCGCGTCCGGAGCCTGTGCTCCGCAACGGGAGAGGCCACAACAGTGAGAAGTGGTCAGGCCTGGTTGCTATCGCTTAAAATCAAAAGTACCTTATACATATCCAGTAATTTTAAATTGTCTCATTTGATTTTTCAAACCGTTTGTCTAATATTTGAGTGCTTATTGTTGAATCATTAGTCTGTATGTGGAGTGTATCTTTGAAGATATTTATCAAGAAGAAAAAGTAACTGTTATATTTTTTAAGTCCTTGCATTATCTGTTAACTTTACATGTTTGACAAACCAATAGGACACAGAAGTCTTTAATTATAATCTTTTCATCCCAAAGATCTATGGATAAGGCCTTACCGTTATACTGACAGTCAGATGCCCAGGTAAACTGGAAATTCTGTCAAAGCTACCTGTGCATTTTTAAAGTTCCACAGGTAATTCCTTTTAGTTTGGGATCCACTGCCATAAACTGTAGTGCTGGAGTGATAAGGGTTGAGGGTTTTTATGCTGATTCACTACCTCTGACTAAATTGTTTTCTCTTATTTCTTATAAGTTTGTTTAGATGTTCACTTATTTTCTATAGAGAAGATTTTTTCATACATTCACTGTCATCATTAACAGAAGTATGAAACTCTGTATTGTTTATAACTTAAACTTTCTGTATATTATGATGTTTTGACATCTTAAAAAGCCTTTCTGGCTGGCGAGAGATTGCCTCGCCTGGGACGAGCCAATTCTTAGAGATAGCTAAGCGTCTAGCATGCCTTTGATACACAAACTAACCAATCCAGAGCCAAGCTTCCTCTATCTGGCACCTGCACCCCAAGGAGTAACATTCCTCTGCCTTAATCATCTCAGAGCCAGGTACCAGGCAACTAGCTAGAAACCACGCCTAGAGCCCAAAGACCATCGAAATTATTCAAGCAGGTCAACCCTAAACTGTTGACCTTGTCATCCCTTTGCTGCAGAGACCCCAGTAAAGGCTGTGGCTGAAGTACTCTCCTTGCTCCTGTCTTCTGCCTCCTGACCACCCTGGTGTTCTTCCATATGGCCCCTGTGTGGCAGGCTGTGCCTCCTGTCCCTAGGACCTGTGAGTATAATAAACTTTGTTTTCCTGAGCCTCTCTTGTGTCTCCTCTTGCAGCTGCACCTGAGTATCTCATAAAAGGAATTATGAGATATCCTACCATCTTTCTCAATTACTATTTTAAACATTGCTGGGGGCTGAAGTAATAACGCCAAACTGGATACTACCCAAATTCCTCAACAGCAGAATAATAAAGAAATAAATTGTGGTATACGTACACAGTGGGATACTAACCTGCAATTAAAATGAACTACAACTACATACACAGTGTTGAACAAAGCCAGACACACAAAAAAGCATGGATTGCATAATTCCATCTACATAAAGTATAAAAATGGGAAAAACTAATCTATGCTCTTTTAAGTCAAGAAAGTTGTTATCCTTTGGAGAGGGGGTCGGGCTGTGACTCGAAGAGCCCTGAGAAGCCTTCTGTGGGGCTGATAATGTTCTATTTCTTAATACAGAAGCAGTGTTCATTTTGTGAAAAGCCTGTATATTTATGAAATGTGCACTTTTCTCTATGTATATTACACTTAAAAAATTAACAACAAAATGTGGTGTATACAACACACAACAGAATATTATTCAGTCTTAAAAAGAAATTCTGACACATACTACAACACTGAAGCGCCCGGAGGACATTATGCTAAGTGACGTAAGCCAGTCACAGAAGGGCTAAGACTCTAATTCCACATACTTGAGGCGCCTAACAGGAGTCAATGCACAGAGACAGAGACCTGGGCAGTTGCCAGGGGTGGGAAAAGATTTCTGAAGATTGGTGGCAGAAGAGTGTGAATGTACTTAACACTAGTGAACTGTACATGTAAAAATAATTAAGATGATAAACTTTGTTATATGTATTTTATTACAATTTACTATATATTTTTAAAGTTAACAACAAACTACTTTTTGCTGGAAAAGTAGATATCCAAGCATATTAGAACTATATAAAATTAAGAGCAAACAGGCTCTTAGATGATGGCCTGCAGGGGACCCTCCTGTAAAGTATAAGCACTTCAAAGCACAGACGTACAGATAATTATATCGGCCAACTAGAAACAAGGGGACACAGCCTGCAGAAGGGAAAATGGGGAAGGGAGGTCACATGTCACACACACTAAAAAAGATATATCTAGATAGTTACCAACTTTGAAATAAAAAGTATTATGATTTGATGACATACTAGTTTCCTCAACAAGGAAATCTTTTATTTCAAGGTAAGAATGAAAATATGGGGCTTCCCTGGTGGCGCAGTGGTTGACAGTCCGCCTGCCGATGCAGGGGACATGGGTTCGTGCCCCAGTCCGGGAAGATCCCACATGCTGCGGAGCGGCTGGGCCCGTGAGCCATGGCCGCTGAGCCTGCGCGTCCGGAGCCTGTGCTCCACCTCGGGAGAGGCCACAACAGTGAGAGGCCCGCGTACCAAAAAAAAAAAAGAATGAAAATATGAAGGAAAACCTACTTCCTATATACGTATTTCAAAACTATTTGGTATAAGAAAGCTGGAAGTACTGGACAAAAACATCTTATTCATATCTGTTACTGGTTACGTTTTGATGTTAGAGTCTTGATAAACAAGGTCCAAATAAAGGGTTAAAATCAAATGAGAAATTATTAAGTACTTATTTAACCTACCTATTTGTTCCCCTAAGATCAGGCACTGTTTTGGTACTGGAGCTCCAAAGACCATTCCCCGAAGTTTATCCATTGGAGGAGCTTTATTCTGAAGGCCCCCAAACTTTCCATTACTTCGAATGCGATCTCCATCTCTGGTCAGCAGTGTAGGACAGTGTGTAATTTTAACAACCTATTGTAAGTAAATGGATATTAATTAGCGAGTCTATAAAACTTATTTCAACTGCTCTAAGAAAACAGAAATCACTTAAGGGTTCTGAGATAAGAAATGACATGATCATGGTAGTATTTTCACAAAATTAATTACCTAGTGATGTGTAAGATGACTAGGGGAAAAAACCAGAGGCAGGGAGATGATTTAGACTACCTCTCAAGTGTTAGCCTAAACTAGAATAGTGACAACACAAATGGAAAAAAGTGAAATTGATGACCTGATTGATGGCTTGATTGATAAGAGGAAGGAAGAGAGAGGGCCAAGCCAGAGACCTGTGTGCTTCTGAAACCCAAGGCAGTACCCAGCCTGTAGCACTAGCTCAGTTTCCTTCTGTTAGAAGTTTTCCAGATGACCAAAGGCTAGCAAAAAGGATATTATATTAGACTGAAGAGAATACAAACTCAAAAGCAAAGGGACAAATCTTCAGAGGACAATACTATGAGTTCAGTTGTAGGAGGAAAAAGAGCTAGTGTGTTGAGAATTGGGGGAACTAGAATTATATAGTAAAACCTAAGTCGTGGAAAGGGAAGTAGAAAGTGTTAGTCAAGAACTAAATTCTTCAGAGAAGTCAGAGAATAAAAGAAAAACACTAGATTTAGTATTTTATGATCTTCAAGAATATTCTTTCAAATAAAGGTCTAGGATATACAAAAATAAAACGTTCAACTTCACTGGTAACCAGAAGTGGAACTGAAATAACTTGAAGTGGAATTCAAAAGAGATATTTTCACTATTCAAAAATGTTAAAATACACACACACACACACATACATACACACATACACCACAGAATGCTGGAGAAAGGGTCTTCTTGTACTAATCTGCTCTGGGACAGCCCTTCTCAAAGCAAATGTGACAAGTGTTTAAAACCTTAACAGTTAGGGACTTCCCTGGTGGCAGAGTGCTTAAGAATCCGCCTGCCAATGCAGGGGACACGGGTTCGAGCCCTGGCCCGGGAAGATCCCACATGCCTCGGAGCAACTAAGTCCGTGCGCCACAACTACTGAGCCTGCACTCTAGAGCCTGAGAGACACAACTACTGAAGCCTGCACGCCTAGAGTCTGTGCTCCCCAGCAAAGAGAAGCCACGTCAATGAGAAGCTCATGCACCACAACAAAGAGTGGCCCCCGTTCACCACAACTAAAGAAAGCCCACGCACAGCAATGAAGACCCAACGTGGCCAAAAATAAATAAAATAAATATATTAAAAAAAAAAAAGCTTAACATTTTGCATGACCCAGCAATTCCACTTCTAAGAGTATTCTGAAAAAAATCATCACAGATGTGAACAATGTGCACTGAAACATTGTTTTAATAATGAAAAATATGAAACTTGCACATTTCAATAAGTTACATAAATAAATTATGGCACACTCACATAATGAAACAGAATGCATACATTAAAAGACTAAAGAATAATTTAATAACATGTAAAAACACCTAATCCAACCTAATACTGTGGATTAAGTAGTTTCTGAATTATAAAAGATTAAATAAAATATAGTTTTTAAAAACAAAAAGCAATAGGACAGGTAATAAAGAATCATGACTAGTATTTATTCTTTTAATATAATTCCAAGGTAATTTACAGGTATTTTGCCGTCAAACTGGGTACTTTCTATAAAATTTAAATGCAACAGAATGTCTATTTCAAGAAAATCTGTGGTGAATTCTTTGGTGAAATGAATCTTTTAGTAAAACAAACCACCACACCTTACTTTCTTAGTTCTGGTTTGGATTTGTACGTTTCCTAAAAGTGAACATTAAAAATACAGACTGAATTAATGTACTATTACCATATTGTTATTAAATTATATAATATATAGTAAATTAAATTATTCTTATTAAATTATCAAATTTCAGGCAATGTTTTTACAGATTTAGTACCATCTTAAATAACAAATACACTCAAATTTCTTGTCTATTTTCTTGTTAACACACTCACTGACAGTATGAGTTACAGGCCTCTGGCAGAAGGGACAGTTTTTCAATTCTCAAATGGCATGGAAGAAAGGGGAAATGACAAGTTGCTATTTAATGGGTACAGAGTTTCAGTTTTACAAAAAGAAGAGAGTTCTGCAGATTGGTTGTACAACAATGTGAATGTAACACTACTGAACGGTGCACTTAAAAATGGTTTAGATGGTACATTTTGTTATATGTATTTTACTATAATTTACCATTAAAAGAAACTTCAGTCCTCACTAGGCACTATATTAGGACAAAAAAGATCATGACAGCTTTTACAAATTCAGTGAGTGAACAACAGTGCTACAGTTCTGGGCAATACTAATTCACAACTGCTGTAAGGATTAGCAAGGGATGGAATCAACAAGGGGTTGAAGTAGTATAAATGGCATGAAGAATTTAGGAAGAGAAAATGATAACAAAGACTCCTGAAACCTAACAAAATCACCAAGAGATGTCATAACAGCCTTTTCTTAGAAGAGCTTTAAAACAATATTTAATAGGTGGAGTGACCTCACTAAAAACTTTGGAAGCAAAGAAATCAGTATGTGCTGTTCCAGGTGTCCCCAACCCCCAGGCAGCACAGCAGAAGGTGAGCAGCAGGCAAGTGAGCGAAGCTTCCTCTGCCGCTCCCCATCACTCGCAGTACCGCCTGCACCATCCCCTCCCTCCCACCCCATCCTTGGAAAAACTGTCTTCCACAAAACCGGTCCCTGATGCCAAAAAGGCTGGGGACTGCTGTGCTATACCAATTATGAGGAACAAATGCTGTCCCCGCTTTTGTCACATATGCTGTTACTTATAAAAAAATTTTTTTTTGATGTGGACCATTTTTAAAGTCTTTATTGAATTTGCTACAGTTTTGCTTCTGTTTTTCGTGGGTTTTTTTTTTTTGGCCATGAGGCATGTAGGATCTTAGCTCCCAGACCAGGGACTGAACCCACACCCCTGCATTGGAAGGTGAAATCTCTTTTTTTTTTTTTGGCTACATCAGGCAGGTCTTAGTTGTGGCACGAGGGCTTCTCTCTAGCTGTGGTGCGCGGGTTTCTCTCTGGTTGTGGCATGCGGGTTTTCTCTCTCTAGTTGTGGCACACAGGCTCCAGAGCGTGGGGGCTCTGTAGTTTGCGGCACGCAGGCTCTCTAGTTGAGGCGTGCGGGCTTAGCTGCCCTGCAGCACGTGGGATCTTA